TAAAATATATATATATATATATATATATACAGTCAAATTGATGTTATACATATATATATATCTAGTATATAGATTTAGCTTTAATACAAACCGTAAGAGACGCTTGGGAATGCATCAATGGCAGCCGCGCATTTTTCCGTGGATAAAATCTCCCCGATAGCCAGTAAAGTGGTCATTAATTCACAACCAATCGATGAAAATCTTTTGATGCACAGACTTTTTGATATTTGATAAGATGTAATCATTCTAGAGTTTTTCTTTAATACACGAAGTAGCAAGCTGACGTTATTTGCTGTCATTTTCACGTCAAAATGATATCTTTAATGTCATTTTAACGTGAAAATGACGATAAATAATGTCAGCTTGCTACCTGGATAATGATTTGATAAATACACAGAACTTTGTAGCTAAACTTTTTTATCACTTTGTACTGTGTAAAATAATAACCTTTGCAATTAATTTATATCTATAGAAGATTAAATAGATTACAATAAAAGAAATTAAATAAGCTTAATAAGGGATTAATTTATTTGCAGAATTATTGGCAATTAGAATCCTAACATAGAAAAGAGCAGTCATGTTCGTCTTGCAGTTAAAACCACAATGTTATGCGCTCTTATGAAATTCTAACTACGATATATTACTAGCAACTCAAATCCGTATTGTATTACAAGACCGTCTCATTGCAGATGTATTAATTTCCGTGGTTAATATGTACATTCTAATAATACTCACAGTACTATAACATCCAGAGATTTCCAATTTTAGTATTATTACAGGATTTTGATCGATTTCTTAGGATTATAATAATTATTATAACCTGGTAGATATTTTTGTTATTTACAAAGATTTTCATGTCAAAAGCAGTAAAGTTAATTAAGATTTTCTCTTTATTTTTCATAGTTATATTAATTCAAAGTATATATATATATGTATGTGCATATTCGCAGAACATTTTTTTACGTAAAATACTATTTTTTGCCCTGAAATTATTTGCATTTTGTTATTAATTTGTTGCCGCCTATGCCTGCGCTTACAAGAAATTATTATTTTACTACCGGCGTAAAGATTAGGTGAAATTAGCTGCGATGATTTAGAACGCGATTGTGAGATCTCTTCCATCTCATGCTGAGCTCTCTCGTACAGCTGCGAGTGGATAGAGATATTCTGTGTTTAATCTTGTTTTAATCCTTGGCTTTCCGATGAATGTACAGTTGGGATTAATGCTTGTGAAAATATCGCTGCGATTACACTTATATTACAGTGACTCGTAAACAGAAGTATGGTGTCCGATAGTCAATTTTGAGAATACTGAATATAAAGATAGAAATTACGTAGCTTATATGTCATTTACAAGCAAATTATATCACGATATACCAAGAGACAGATGTTCAACAAAAAGTATAGCAATTAAAAATAATTGACGAGTAAAAAGAAACAGTAAAAGAGAACAAACTTTGGATCAGAATACACGATACAGGTCAAATGTCTCGCGTAGGTTTGTCGATATGTGGAAGGAAAGAGTATGGAAAGATACGAACGGAAATCTCTCTCTCTCTTTCTCTGCTTATATCTACCTATCTAGCTATCTCTCTTTTTCTCTGTTCGAGCGAGATATGTGCGAACATAGAGAGGATGCAAAAACTCGTACATCACGTGTTATCGCTTCTTTTAGGAGCCCAACCGGACGCAAATCAAAGCCGTTCGATTTATACTCTACAGTGAGTATCCAGTTCGATTACAACGGATTGTTCTCTTTAGCTAAATTTTTTGTCTGCCTTCGATTTTGATTGCAATTGTTTTATTTTAGATGAAATTTACAAAGTTATATATAATTATATAAAGACCGCAAGAATCCAATACTATTTGAATATATTCTCTTTTAAGTGTTTACAACACTTGCATATGCGAATATACATGTGTGTAATAGAATCTATGTATTATATACCTTATTGTCAGAATGAAGAGATTTGAGGTTTAGAAAATAATAGCATTAAAAATTGTACACGGTTGGAAAATTTTTTATTAAATTTAATATATTTCACATGTTCATTTAATTTTTTGTGTTAATTTAACACAATGAATATGTTATGAAGTAACATAAATATTACTTAAAACATTTCTACAAAAAAATTAACATTGACACAATTTGGATTCTTCTTTTCAGTAAAATTAACATTTATGGTAACATTAAATTAACACACATTTTATTTATACATATATATTATCAAATAACACATAATTATGTTATGTTATATTAATTAATATAACACAATAATAATAATTGATATAATTATCCGAGTGTTAACACTCGGATATATTAGAAATTCTACATAAAAGTTTAACAAAGATCGATTTTAACACTAGTACCAAATGTTTTGTAACTATGTCTATAACTATTTAATTATACAGAGTGAAAATATCTTCGTTTAATTCAATATCAGTCTTTCTGAATAAAAAGCATCTATTTTTGCTCGCCAATAATTTCTCATGAGCGTCTCCTTATTATCTCGAACGGAATCGTCGATGATGCAAATCGTGAACGTCGTTGCAGAGATGGAACGAGAAAGGGCGAAGTGACGCTGTTCCTTGCCGCTTGATAACTCTTCTCTCGACTCGTTCGCGCCTTCCGAACTTTTCCGACCCGATCGACCTTTTCCTTCTCCTATGGCGTTTGGTATTCGCTCTCGGCCGTTTAATATTTCTCTCTTTTCGCTTGATTCCACATTGGTACCCTCGTCGTAGATTGCGCGACGTCTCCCTTCTCCGCTCTTTTCGCTCGATTTCACGGTTGCCGCGACACGGAAGAAAATCGGCGTCGCGGCGCACACCGATAAGACGCCAACGACGATTGTGATGTCTGCGGAGCATTGAAACGGATCGAAGGAAAAAGGAACAAGCAATGATTCTCCGATTCCAAGATTCTGGGAACACATTGAATTCTTTAAACTTCGGTGTTTTGCATTTTTAGATTCTTTAAAAAATTCTCAGAGAGAATTGCTGACTCCTTAGATTTTATAATCTTCAAATTTCCAAGTGTTATAGCTCTCGACATTATATAATTTTACTATTTAATCTATCATTAATTATGTAATGCAATAATATGTAACGTTTAATCTTAAAAGCTACTTTTTTTTTAGTAGTTTAAGAATGGTTTAGCTGTACAATGTATAAGCTAAATGTGTCAGCCAAAACATCAGCTAAAAAAACCAATATCAGTTAATATCAGCCAAAAAATTTGATCATGAATACGCTCTGAAACCAACTGCAAAAAAAACAAATAATTTAGCTTATAATGGCTTTATACAGCGAAATAACCATATTTTGCTGCAATAAATAACTTTTAAACGAGTAAGAGAGAGATAGTGAATCCAAATGAACTTTCCCATGAATATTTATTAAAGTTTTATTAGTATGTATAAAAAATTTGATTTAATTCTGCGGCCAAATTTGCAAATAACTACTGCAAAATACGATTTTACATAAGAATCAAGATTAACAAAAAAAAATTAAGTCACTTTTAAATAAACAAATTGTGTTCAAATTTTACACTGATACTTACGATTTCCTGCTTCTTTCTGTTGGATGGATATAATAGAATATAAAGGTTGTCTTATTACGGAGAGATTAAATAAAATTTATATATTATATATACCTATATATATATATATATATTAATAAAATTCTAATAAATATTCATGCCAAAGTTTATTTTCTCTCTCTTACTTGTTTAATAGTTATTTATCGCAGCAAAATATGGTTAGACTAATAACAGAACAATTAATAAAATTTTTATATTTTTGGCATAATTTTAATGCTTTAGATGTGATGCAATTGATGCATACATTGGCTGATCTGACAAAAACAATTATGCTTCGTGCATAACATTTTCGTTTCTATATAAAATACACAGGACTAGTTCCACGTAGAGTTTTTTAATCTGCCGGATAAACTTTTCGATCGGATGTCGTTCGTCGGCTGAGAGCGACTTCGTCAGAACTTCCGGTCCCTCCTTGTACGTGGGATGTATCTCCTTATGCCGCTACTTACGCGAACTTTTCCGGAGCTTTAAGGAGGCCGAAGACGAAGTTTGATCCTTCCTTCACCAAGAGAAAGAGGCAGGAAGTCGTTTAAGATTAATGTGCTCTTCTTAGGTTGTTCCTCTATGACTTTAACGCGATTGCGATCCTAACAAGAGACAAACTGGCAAGTTTTGATTTCAATGAAACTTGGAAAATATGTAGAGTAGCTTCTTAATAGAAAAAATAGTTCTAAGATATTAGTGTTATATCATCATACAATATTTTAATTATTGTATTATTATATTTATTATACTACAATACTTTTTATTATAATGTATACAAAAACATACAGGAACTCATTTTTCTTTATCAATATAATTTCCTTCTTATTAACGTAAACAACAAAAATTTTAGTCATAGATTTTCTCTTTTCCTTTTTCTTTTTAATTTGCGAGTGCTATTATCTAAAGCGGAAAAATATCGTACTTTTTTTTCTGTACGTTATGAACAAGATAAACGTCAATTGTACAATAACGTAATTGTAGCCGAATGTCTCTCGTTCCAGTTGACATGATGCTGCAGAAAACGAAGAACTCGACAATGCCGTCTTTTCTGTAATATCGATTTCTTTTAGTCTTTAATTCTTCTTTTAATTTCATCGTTGTTGAAGTATTTTCATAATTAATTAATAACTCTCTTCGCGCACATTGGATAATTAATAGCATTGCATATATACCTGTTTTCTGTAATATTTTAATTGTCTTCTTGCTACATCTATAAGGTCTTCCAAGTTCTAGTATCTTGGAGAGTTTTAATTGTTGAGTTTTCAAATCTTAAATTTTAGACTATTAATTTTTTTAATTATTTTTAAAAAATCTACAGTACGTTTATTTCCTTGAAACATGAAACAGTTTTCATCAATTATTAAAAATTGAACATTTATGTTAAATGACATAAATATGTTGTGTTTACTTGTAGAATGGACGAGCCAGTAGTGAGAGTAGCGAAGATGGAGCCGGAAGTAGTGCAAGCACTTCGCGAGGAGCCGGGAGTGGATTCGGTCTTGCCGCTGGATGCACCGGCGGATGGCGCAGTGTCTTTGGTGCAGTTTCAGGCCGGGAACTTAGATTGTATGAGTGTGCGCCTTGGAGCCCAGAAGCTTGGGCTTCGCCGAGCATTACCTGTCCCCTTATCGCAACACGGTAAGTCTTCTATATAGTGTTTACAATTTTGAACAAATGGTCACATTTATTTCTTAAATTCTCCTGTATAACGAATAAGAACCGAGAAAAGGACCGAATTATTATTTTTTATATTTCCTACATTTATTATAAGATAAAACGAAGGTAGCTATCCCATAATTAATGAAGATTATTATGATAATTATCAATTAATTGTGTAGCATGATATAACGAGGAATTAACTTGTAAATTTATTTGACGCAACAATAACGTTTCTCGTAATGTTTACAACAATCTTGATATTCTTAGTCATTTATATGAAACGTCTCAATTAATATTCATCTCAATATTTGCTCACGAACCGAAGTAACAATTCTCCATCGGCGTCATTAACACGACGATTCACGTATCGCACTACGGATCCCGTATCGACTACAGTCGAGAAAGCGGGAACGTGCTTACGAGCGAAACGAGCCACGTATCGCGTCGTCAACGAGTACTACGACCGCGTCACGTTGTAGCACGTACGTCTCGTCGATTTCACGTCGACGTAGCGTGAGACTGCCATCGTAGGTACAGGTTGTTGGGAAATTAAGCGTAAAAAATTCACCAGCCTCGTGCACGAGAAAGTAGCTCTGCATGACGAGCATCTCCCGATGGGAGTACAATGTAACAACTATAAATACTGAGCTTCCAACATCTTGTCACACGTGGACCAAAAGTCATTCTGCAAAGTGAAACTAGAAATCTTTCGTCAAAAAAAGTTCATACAAGAAAAATAGTTTCGTTATTTTTAATTTTATTTAATTAATCAAGTATACAATTCAATTGTGCTTTTGTATTGCGCTTTTAGTAGATAATATAGAATTTAAAGCAACTTGCGTTGATATAAAATTAGCGTGAGTGTAAATAAGGTTAATGAGCAGTAATTTTTCTTTAACGTTAATGGGCAAAGACAAACTGTGTGCTTGAAAATAACGATAATTAATGGACAGTATATTCTGGAAATTTGTTTTAATAGAAGGATTGTCTCTACGCACGAACATTTGGTTTGTAATTGATTGTATGCTTACATTCATATGTATAGGATTTATTTCTGGATTCTTTAAACAATTTTATATACATATTCGGCGATTTTTTCTTAATACATAAATATTGAAATATGAGTTTTTCAAGTTGCACGAAATTGTAAATTAAAATCTTTGGAACGTTATGAATATACATATACATTTATAAAATTTTTATCATAGTAAAATTTTAATAAAAAATTTCTTTTTTATAGTAATATTTAATATTAAATATCTGAAAAATGTATTACGCACTCTTATATTTATTAAAGAAGATTAGATTATAAATAAACATTGAATCTCAAAATATAAATTTTATATTAACTATTATATATAAAATTGTAAAATTAATAAAATTTATATAATATAGAAAGATGAAAAGAGATATACATATATAGGACGTCTATTCTAACACAGCGTACATACAGACTCTATCTCTACATTTGTATTCGACGGTACAGTAGGAGGATTATCAATGAGGCACATCGGATTACAGCAGTTAGCGATGTTCGTTAGACCGCCATTTTAATTAAGACTATTATACATCCGGCCGACTGTTCGCGTGATGTCATTGTGACGCTCGTTACGTGCACGGCTCGCGAAATCATTTTCGTCTCTGTGGCGATTCGTTTTGTAATGTGTCGATGCTACATTATACCGATACTAATCACGAATGTGTCGTTTAACTGTGTGCGTAAACGTGATCCAAGCTTTCAACGGGCACATCTAATTATTCGCTGCGTTGCTCTGAGTCGTTGAATGGACGTTGAAAGGGTGTAGTAGTGAATGGATCAGTGAAACTACTTACTCGGCTTTCTATGCTGATTATACACATACTATAGGTAATGTATATATGATCAAAATATCTATGGCTATATATCATCGAAGATATCGTGCATATCCTTCCGAAATTACATGTAAAAAGGTATAAGTGATGTTGGCATATATTGCTAAAATGTTTCAAATTGGATGATACTTACTTCCAAATGACGGCACACTCGAGATGCTACTACTTCTGTTGGTGTTTTGGTTGCTAGAATACCAAAACTTTTTATAGTATTGCTTATTATATTTGAGTACCCAACATAATTATTTTGATAGTACAATAAAGTTATTTTTCATTTCTAGTTTATCTAGCTAAATTTTTACTTTAACATAACGTTCGTATACTTTCCATGTATATTTTGAAACAGTTTACAAAATCCAATTTTTATAAAAGACTAATAGTACATTGCACTTCTGTATAATTCGATAATATTAATACAGTGGTTATCAACAGTTTTCGGACCAATATAATTAATAATATTATTTTACAATAATGTTTGTCAATCTGTTTGTAATTTATATTCAGTTAAACTTCTTATTATAATTAACTTAAGAACACAATATTTTAAATATTAGAATATATTAAGTATTTGTATATTAGATCTTTATTTACATAAATACTTTCTTTATCTAAGCAATCCAATGACATTACTCATTGGTTTCAAACTTTTGACAGCCATTGTATATAGGATTCTGTCGGAATGTGGATAATGAGATTTTGCATGGATGAATAAATCGGTGTTTAAACAAATACATCGATCGAAACGTTTATTAATTCCACGTAACGTCCTTTTGCAATCATTGCGACCATGCTACACGCACTAATCACGATTGGTTTCGGTTTTCATGGCGAATTGCCGGGTTGGTAAATAACCGAGTGAGCAAATATCTCGGTAGAGCATTTGTCAATACAGACTGAAATTAATAGGATGGTAATACAGATTAGATCCTGTTAGAGATATATTAATTATTGATTTGCGTCATTTGTGACAACAAATACAATATATATTGTATTTATTTTTTGTCAAATTACTGAAATTAAATATTGTTTAAAGTATTTGGAAAGATTGTTTAATCTTAAAATACGTGTAATGTTTTTAGAGTGAAATAATATTATAGATGTTAATAAGACACAAAAATTGAATTTCTATATTTCCATTTTATGAGTTGGAAACAGATAGAATTCTTTTCTTTTTATTATATCTTATTATTATTGTAATACCAAATTGTTAAATCAAAACTCATAACGTCGTGGTCTAAAAGCGATACGCATAAATTTTAATTAAAAGTTTATTTGTGTACATAAACGAGTCATTCTCGATGTTGCTCGATGCACAATGTTACATTATTCTTACAGGATGGCGTCGTTTCCACCATATTTTTTTCCGGTGTATTTATTGCGACGACGACGTTCTGCGACCCATTTCCGTTCTTTTCCCATCTCGATATCAGCGTACAATCGATTTCAACGTCTCGTTCTCTCTGGACGTTTACCTACTATCTGTCCGTTTTATTTATTTATTTGCACACTCGAACGGATTGCGATCACTGCTACATCGTCGTATTAATATAGGTTCAAACGATCGATTTATTTAGACGTTGTTTATTTACTGCATACGGATGTGTTTATTCAGCCAACTTTGTGTTGCGACCAATGCGAGTGGTTGAGATCAGTGTTGGTTTACACTAGGATCGATTTTAGTTGCAATTGTTTCGAGATGTTCCTAAATAGATATCATCTACATGAATATTTACCAAAAGTACTTTGAATCTTGGAGAACTGATTTCACAAAACTTAACTTCTTCTATAGTGTTTAAAATATCGTGTTATATATTAAGTTGATTAGAATAAGAATTTTATTAATTTTTTTTTATAATATAAACTGAAAAATAGATTGACAAAAATTACCGTCAAATTATATGTTGGCCAGAAACTTTTGGTAACCACTGTATTTTGTTTGTTGTTCGATAAATGATCCATGCTTTTAAGTATACTATTTGATGCTTCCCAGTCACCTTTATACTTACGTAGTTAGGGTATGTGTAACACACGTAAACAATACAATAAAAAATTTATTTCCTGGAAATAGTGTGTCATTAAGTATTTGCCACTTTTCTCGAATGTTTCACGAGCTGGATATTTCTCTGGAAATGTTGCTGCTTTCCTGCACAAACGCCGCTTCAATTTACTGCCTCAATCGTGAATCTCATTTACGGGACTCAGCATCGCGGAAAGCGGCTTACAAAAAATTTAAAGGAGCTTTAGTTTTAAAGCTGACTTCGAGATAATTTGTGTCGCGAACTACACGTTAAAGTCCACTTTAAATCTCGACTAACTTGAAATTCTTCGAGCAAAATCGTTCTCGCGTCGCCCGCTCCGTCCAGGAATAATCTCTTGCTTCTTTAAACCTTCGCCATGTTGCGATAGAATAATTAATCGTATGGAATAATTAATGGTTGGCTAATGGGTTTCCATTGCATGGAATTTATGTACTTCAAAATAACGCTTGAAAATAATAATTGATTTTGGTAAACAACTCGTATAACATCGTTAAGTTCATTTTGTTTTAAGAATAAAGATAGAAATTAAATGCAATAAAACATAAAGGTATAAAAACAATACATTGGTTTGAGTTAAAATTGTTTACCAGGACTAATATTAATAATAAGAATTTAATAAAATGGATACTGTTCATACAGGTACGAATGGACGTATGTAGGTACAATCTGAGAAGAAACATTAGATAATTATCATCTATTTTTGCTAACTTGTAAATATGTATAATTAAATATTTTATTTTTATCATGTTGTTCAAAGAAAAATATTATCACGAATGGTATTTTAGTGTTGATAAAAATATTAAAAAATAAACTGTGTTTTTCTGCTTTGTATTTATGCTCTTTAAAACAGTATAATGGGTCTTATTTAGTCTAGCGTGACAAAAAGTAGATGGTGTTACGAATAATAGCGAGGCAACATGAAAATTTTCATAGCGACATTTTCTCAAGAGCGCTGCTCAAAAGCCGCGTCCATTAATCCGCGAGGAAACGCGGCGCTTCATTATTTACATCCACAGAACTTCGCTTCGCGGTCTTGCTTACACGGTGCGCGCCGTCGCTCGCCATTTA